CTCTGTCCTTTTTCACTAAATAATCACAGATTATTACCCCTACTTCATTTTTCAAGAAGGCAGCTTTAATTTTGTTACTTTGGCGATTAGAGTTGATAGAGAGAAACAAAAAATAGGATACATTTTAATATTTTCTAAGAAAAAAATTTATCACTAAAACAAGTCTGTTTTTTCTTATACTGACAAAATTTAATAATATTACTATCATATTACATGATTCATTCATTCCCTCAGTCATTCACTTATATTATTCAACACATTGACAGTTTTACTTTCGAAAAGACTTAATACATCGATCCATTCATTATTATTTTCAAATCTATTTATTTATGTTTGATCAATGTCCAATGTGCGTCGTCATTTAGTTATAATGAATGCTTCTATATAAATTCACTTCACTTGAATTTAGCGGGTTATACAAACTAAGCAAAAACTGTTTGCTTTATATATATATATGTAGTGTGTATAAAAATGTAACTAACTATACAAGTTTTTATCTCTTAATATATATAGTTTACTGTGTTGTATACGTATAGAACAGAGATAAAAGGAAGGAGACAGAAATTTTCTTTCTGTGTATGTAAAAAAAGATACTCTAAATGAAACAGTTCATAGTCCATAAGATAAATGAAATGTTCAAATATCAATAATCGTAATTGTAATAGTAATTATTATTATTCACAATCTTTTACGCAATTGCCTGTCTCCTTTTGTCTGTTTGCATTAAAAATGCACTAATAAATTATATATATATATATATATATATATATATATATATATATATATATGCACGTTCGATTGTTATATCAATAAAAATAGAAAATACTTGTTTAAGTATATCAATTTTAGGTTAGCGCCAAAATTTAATGGCTAGAAAAGAGGCGGTTAATTACAATTTGAATTTCCTCAGTTCATTTTTGTATATATTATCTGTTTTTAGTGTAGAATGAATGCTGTAATCAAATGTAAAAGAGGTTATCTTTGCCTGTTTTTTGTTTAAAGTGTTTTCTTTCAACTTTTTTCACGCAAATAAGATATCTATGCGCGAAAATACATAGCGATTAGGTTTTTTATTCTCATACACTCACTTTTTACTGTGTTGACTGATTATGTGTGTGTCTGTGTGTTTGTGTGGTGGTGGCAGTGGAATCCAGGATGCGCATTTCATCCCCACTGAGTTGTGGTGTTCGGATTGAGACTCGAACTTAGAAGCCTTCGTCACCACCACACTAAATAATTTTATGTTTTTACTCTCAAACATCCTCGAAGCGTTTGTATTAGATAGCTGATGGGTTCAGAGGGAACAAATATTTCGGTTCAGAATAAAATCGGCCAATGCAAATAGCTTCATTATCATAACTGCCTTCAAGATAGTAGGTAGACAGACATGCAGGCCGAGTAATGCACTGGAACTGTAAAGATTTCAGAGTAACCTTGATTACTAAACCAGGAACAGTTACAAAAGTATTCAGAATAAATGAATTTTTGACAGCAGGTATTTTTGGTTTTTAACCCAAGCCTCTTTAGAAATGTTAAACCCTGACTCTACTGACAATTGGGTCAATTACAGTAGTGGAAGGTGCTGCTGCTTTGCCTGCCTTGAATATTCAATTATCACAAACTATTGGGTGCTGGACATCCACAACTTCATCAGGGATAGGATGAGTGTTTTCCAAGTAACAAGATCGAGGTCACTGACGACCACTCAACAACCACATTCGGGCTGGAGTCCTCCAGAGATCCCTGAATTCTAACTTTTTCATTATTCCTGATGTAGCCCTGCTTTCAACCCAAATGCTTTCCATCAATAACCATTTCTTTTTGGTATGATTGGCGGCCCTCAATGATCAATCCTTAGGCGTGGTGGTGTTCTCAGGTGGGAGCGCACTTTGTTGAAGAGTTTGGAACTATGACGAAATATGGGAAACTCTTTTCAGAGAAACATGTGTAACATTGGATCACACAAAGACAAAACAATGCTGTCGCTCTCTCTCTCTAGCATACACGCACACACTCTCGTAACCATATTATAACTAATTAGTTTTTCTTAGGCATATAAAACTCGCAAAACACACACTTAATTAGCTAATAAAGCGCAATTTTCAAACTATTTACCAGTCTTTAAATATAAACTTTTGTATACAATAAGTATCAGACAAGTGATGTTAACAATTTAAATTTTAATATGTATTATCACTGTAGCGATGTACATCTGACTGTCTGGCTGGTCTATCTCTACCTGTGTGTGTGTGTATCAGGAGAGCCTGTAACTCTTTGTAGTCATTCTTCCTTTGTTGTATGACAATTATGAAAGCGTCATCAAGAGTTTTGTCAACCACAAAAACAACAACAACAACAAAAACTTCACCGAAAACTGTGCTCCTCCAGTCAGTGTTCGTTTGCATAAACACACCTTGTCGTAAATTAAAGTTGGACGGTTTAAATTGCGCGGAAGTAAGGTAAATGTGTACATAGAGAGAGAGAGAGAGGAGACACTGATAAACACTATCTGAACAGAATCATCCCTCTAAGCGCATATATATTAAATATACCTCTCATATGATAATTTGTATGAATACATTCTACACTCTTAATATAAACAATGGTAATTCATAGTCTCACTCAAAGGGAACAATCATCTTTTCATCATATAGGCAGGCAGAAACAAATATGGACGTGTTTATATGAATTCATCAGATTTTGAAAAACCTTTTATGCGTTTGTTTAGCATTCTACATTATATCATTTAAAGCGTTGTATTATAAGTAGTATACATAAAAAGTAGTACATCTATCCATCTGCCTACTTATCTATTTGCTCATCTGTACTGTCCACCCATACTACTAATTTCAAGATTTCTGATTGCATCGTTTTTCGTCAAAAATATCTCTGAAATGTACACACACACATACACATGCAAACTGGCACATATGTCCACTGAAAACCTGAGGCCCATGAATCTCAACTACTGCTACTAATAATAATTACTGCCAATACTGCAAAATGTCATTAATAATGTTTATATTACTGATATTCTAATGACGTAAACTATTTGATTTCATTTTATTTATGTCGTTTTTCTCTAAGATTGTCTATTGTATGTGTAGCACAATTAGCGCGTGTGTATGTGTGTCCATATGTTCTTACGTAATACAATACCTGATAGCTTCCTTCTTAAGAGTAAAGCGATTAATACTCTGCCGTATATGAATATAAACGCAGATACATCAATCAAAAAATTATTTCTAACGAGGTCATTTGATTTCATTTCATTTAATGACAGTAGCTATGTGAAATTATAATTGTTTATTATCAATTATAAAATGTTTAGATGAAAAAAATATTACTAGCAAAGTCCTTCTTGTAAACTAAACTTCATCGAATGTTAATTTTAGAATGATTTGATTGGTTACAGGTGCAACGACGATTCGAAATCATTTGGAGGACAATTGAAAAAAACTAGGTAGTACTGAAAGGCTGTTTCGTCCTATGCTTGGATTCTTCAGCATATATATATGTATACCGCAAATTGTTAGAAGTTCAAAATTCATGGGCCATTGAGTTGAATCTCAGTGACTAAACGATACGGAAGGGCCTAGGTTCGAAACCGCTTTGGATTCATACTGTTGAAGAGTCCCAAACTGGGACGCGAAACACTTGTCGCGAATACTCCCCAGTTTTCCAACAGTTCTCTAACCGATTTTGACTAACCAATCAAATCCTTAAAAACCAAAATTTGATAATTGATTTGGTGCTCACTAGCGACTGGTTGTTATACAGGATGTTACCTGGAGTGCTAGTGAGAAGTCGTGACCAGAAGGCTCTACCATCAACTATTCACATTCTTGAAGAATAATTTGTCACTGGAGTGTATTTTCGGATGGCCTCCAACATACCACGTCTGTCTATCTATCTATTTTCAACATAGAACTTTGCACCGATGTGCAGTAGTTCGAGTCGCCATTCTCCCTTTATGTAGCACACAAAGCAAGAGAACAAACTAAAAGGAAATGCAAAATAGTGACAGTAGACAGGGATGTGAGACAAAAGGAATAGTAATATGGAAGAAAAATATAGTTTTATTGGGTATTATAAGTCACAAGGAGTGGATGCATCTGCGTCAGCCATTGAGAACGACGATTTTGAGCCATATCACCAATTGTTTCTAGCCTTCATTGGTTTTTACTGTCTCGAGGACTCCAACCGGTTAGGAAGTCTACACCTCCCTACGTGACTGACTGGCTAGCTTAAACTAAATGTTGTGGATTTCATTGATTGATGAAACCATGTTTTGGTTTGACCACCACTAGCTAACTCTTTTCCAACCTGATCCACCATCCTATGTCAGCTAACATGGCCCGTCGGTCGAGGAAGGCGATGACTAGGCATACATAACATGTGTCCTAACCATCTCTCTCAATCGGTGTCACTTCACAACCTCGTTGATTGATTTCCCCTCCTCACTTAGCACTCGACCGATGCCTAATCTCAGTATATCTCACCTTATTATACCACCACTTAACACGGGAGATAGAAGGCAGACAACTACGATCAAAGACAGCTAGCGGGCCTTTTCATGTCCTCTACTCTCAATGACCAGGTCTTACAGCCATAAAGGAGGACAGAATGGACTGATGAGCAGTAGTACACACTCCCTATGCTCCATAGCCAGCCGGATATCCCGTCTACTAAACCAGAGACAGCGTAGACTGCCATATGAGAAACTAGCCTTCAGTATCCGTGCTGAGATATCATCAGCGATCAACCCGTTTGACGCCGGCTGATGCAACTTTCCAACAATACCACATGGTCTGTTTGTATAGAGAACGAATATGCTTGGGTCGAAGTATTCTGAATATAGGAGTAGATAAAACCAGCCTGGAAATTCCGCACTGTATATAAATATGCAGTTCAGAATACAGTTATTATCGTTATTATTGTTATTGATATTATTAGCATCACAATCCTAACACTTTTCTGTTGATCCCTTTCTCCTACAGTTTGGACGGTAATCCCATTCGAGTAAGTCTGATATATATACATTTAAAATATCTAATATCTGTGAGCATAATTTTTGTTATCATAATGTGCATTTTTTTTATTACAACGTATAGGGGACTAATACTTACTTAATTTACTTTACTTCGGCTATCTCCTACGGGAAGATGAGCCGGCTTTATGAACATGAGTCCATGAAGTTTCATGGGAATTAGGTACGAGTGATGTCCCCAGCATCGCTCGTCCTTTTCTTTGAGAGTGTAGCTCTAGCCTTTACACAACCAAGTGTGACCTACAAGGCAGTAGGAGTGGAGTAGGGAGTCCACTATCCATTGGCAGCCGGAAGCCGGAGTCCGGTTCATACGCCTTTTTGAATGGGGCCAGACATCCAGGGCATCCAATAAGCCCTTTGTCCATACGTCTGCCGGTGAGCTCCAGTGAGCTTCATACGCCAGTCGTTGGAGGTTTGGAATCAGGGTTTAGCCATCTCCCCTAGACTGTCATCCAATGGACAGTCAACCCGGTGAAGAGCGCCGGGTATCCGCTTTTGCCCTCTGACTTCGGTGAAAACACCTCCGCCACGTGAAGGCAGTGAGTAGGACTTCTTCAGGAGAGGCTATGTAAGACGCCCGGTCATATGGGAGCATTTCAAGAGGTGTACGGAGGGGTGGCCAACCCACAGCGCAAGGCTCCCACCCCCGACCATCCTGAGGCTTTGGAGGCAAGGGACTAATGTGTATCTACCAACGGAGATTTGTAGTTCAGCTGGATGGCATTGAATGAATGAGTTGTGTTCTCTGAAGAGCTGGTTGATTTAATGGAGAAGCTTTCTCAGTCCCACTTCTAGACAACATCACTTCAGCTCAGGTTTTAGTATAAAATGGAATTATTTCAATTCTTCATGAATGATAATATAATTGTGTCTCCTGTCGACCACTGTCGTGACTGGCTGTTAATTTACTCCTCTGCTGACTTGGAATTCTAACTTTCTTGTGATGTGATCTGCTTTTTATTAGCTGGTGAATTCAGTCTGTAGTAATACGTTTGTTAATATCTGGCTAATTCACTTGAGTATCAGGCCTCTAGAAATTCTCTAGCGTCAATTCCGGTGTTATCTCTATTTAAAATTTCTACATTATCCCAACCAAATTGGTGTCCATAATCAACCACATGCATTCATATCAAAGAATATGTATCATGTCTCTTTACAGCCAGTTTATTTTCTTGGATTCGGATTTGAAGGCGAAGCCCACTTTGTTGACCGATGTAATGTTTATTGCAGTTCATGCATACAACTGATTTTGTAAATAGCATTAATTTTATCTTCCTTTCCTGTTGGAACTTTTGGTTTGCACACCACTGAATGAAGTGATCGTGCTGGCTGTCTTGTGTGCTATATGTATTTCAAAGGGTTTTAATATTCGAGCTGTTATTTCAGAGACATTTTTCATGTATGGTAGGATGAATTTTCTTGTGTTCTTTGATGATGGTTTCTTTTTGGCGTTATGACTTGAGTTTAAACACCTTTTGGTGAAATTATAAGGATATCCATTCTTTTTTAAATGATTTCATTTCATACTAAAACCTAGAAGGAAGACGAAAGGTTCGCAAATAAATCCCGCAGCTCCTTAGAGAACACAACCAATTCAATATACTCTAAAATCCCGACTGAGCTTTATCTCTAGTGTGGAAATCCACTCTAGGGAATTCCTACTCTATCGATGGGACGAAAATAAGTTATTTCACTTCACTAGAAGAGTCCGGAAAACACTTGAATGAAACACAGCTGTTCAGTACTTTCTTGTGCTGAATAGTAGTTCCTTAAACGATATTCTGGTTCATGAAGAATTCTACCTAGCGGTGGTCACTCACAAATCCATTAGCGATTGGACCCAGAATATTCACGCTATGCAGCCTAGTTTGATGACTATTCAGCCATGTGGGTCACAATTCTAACTTGACTAAGTTATGATATAGTTTGACTGGCCAACGTGCTTCATATCATAAAAACCTAAAGGTTTCGTGTTCCACCCAAGCTGGGATCGTGGTTATACATTGTTGAAAAGTTGTAAACTAAGACGAAACCGCTTTTTCAACGCTTCCTGATCTTGGACGATCTTTTAATGGTATTGCTTCGTATCGAATCCACACTGAAATTTAATCAGATGCCTAGAAAAAAAAATGGAACCCCTGAAAGCAATCTGATCCAAAGTAGGCTGACTTGTTTTATTCTCTTCTGAATGTACCTTTCCTCTAAGTTTTGGTTTTCTAAGGATTTTGATTGGTTGGTTGGTTGGTTGGTTGTAGGATTTCATCATGAACTCACACATTGGTTGGAGAACCGTTGGAAAATCTGCCAGGGAGTACTGGACAACTAACTGATTGTTTCGTCAGCCTAGTTTGAGACTCTTCATCATCAGTAAGCACTCACACTGCCACTGTTCGAACCCGGGACCTTCTGGTTACAAAGCTAGTAGTGACCTTGTAGACCATTAAGCAGCCAATGGAACTGACCCGACTGATCCAATGGCCTGCCAGCCTATGAATTCTAACTTCTGGCAATTCGCGAAATACTGCGGGTGACCACTTCGTGCAATGTTTTCTTCGATGAGTAGTTACTGCCTCACCTTTAACCTGCTATACCCTACTACTTGTCACAGCTTTCCACTAGAAGTGCAGGTAACTAACTGCTTGAATATGAGACCAGTTGTTAGTGAACATAAGTTTTTCAGTTTTCCGTGAGTAGTATTCATAGATTTTAGTTCATAAGTAAGTAAGGAAGAAGAAGGAAATTATCATTAAAATAATTCAACTTAAAAGAGATGAACACCATTCACTTGAACAAAACAATTCCAACAGTTGGTGTGTTGATCACGGGCAGTAGTAATTTTGCTCGAAATATTACAAATAACAAACAAAACTTATCATTGTGTGTGTAAACTATTGAAATATAATTATACTTTATGGGAAGATATGAGCAGTAATCAGACAAATACATTACTAACTAGGATAGATAGATGATAAACAAAAAAGGATCTTTTTTCTATCTTATAAGAAGTAGAGGGAAAGTGATGTTTTAAGGTCAATAAATTTCACTTGAATACATATCAGTGTGTAGTTTTATGGGTGAGTTTATCAACGCTCTGATGTGAATAAATAACCAAATCGACTGTTCTCATGGTTACTCTCCGATGACATTGAATCTCATCTCAGTGTTGCTCTGTCATGTAATGCTATTGACTTTTAATCTAGAGATTGGTTGTTTAGCCTGTTATTATTATGATTATTATTTCAAAGGCATCTCAAAACTGACCTTAGTTCATAGTTTTTTGAAGTTCACTTTAACATACATCATATCCCTATGCATTTAGTCAAAGGAATAACGGTAAGTTGAAGTTAAAATGTTGAAGGGAATATAAGTCACGAGTGGAACGTTCTATTAGGGCAAAGTTTATAAACTTACGTACATTTTAATAATAATAATAGCTTTCTTCGGGAGAGAATGTTTCTATAATGTAGAGGATTTATCAGCGTATCCTTTTGCATAATATTTACTCTTAATCCGGAATCAGAAAATTAAAAATTACAATCTATGAAATATCTTTGTAGCAAAGACTAATCCCTGATGACATCTCCGCTTCATTAACAAGACATTCTCACCGGTAGTTTAAAGAGTTAGAGAAAATATGATGATGCACAGTGTTGAAGATGGAAATTTAGGTAGCTTTACATTCTATAAAAATGACGGCAACTTTTTTGCGCGATTATGTTGTGAATAATTTTTCGACTTCAGATCTGTGATTTTCTTGACGAACACTCCAATTCTCCTTCTTGTAAAACTGTATTCATGAAGAATTCATGATGCATATCAAAGATTCTACACCCAGGAAGGCTTGAAATAGGAATATGATATAATTACCAGAATGTTTGTGAATAATTTTTAGCAATTATTAAGCATTGTTTGATCGTACAATATGTTGAACCCCTTATAGGGGATACCGAATTGTTCCACAAGATTTCACGCGTTTCAAGAATTTTCTTCAGAATGCTATCTGATAGTAATTAGTAATAGAAACAATTTGTTGAGGTAGACGCCAGTGCAATCCAGTACTCACACACTTCGGCCTAGTGAAGACTCATCACTGGATGGATGTACCAACCCAATCCTGTGAGTAGTAGCGTTTTCACTGGGACTCAGGTTCAACACCGATTGTTTCAAACACCAAAACATAATCCGACTGCAGATTTGATTCTTAGTGGGAATGTCATCACACAGTTATTGGACTTTAGGTGTTACATCTAACTGACCAGTCCTAAGTAAAATGAAGTACACCACCAGCCAAATAAAAAGCGCATACTACCTTTAAGCGATGGCCGAAGCATCTGTACTAGAAGTCAGCCCATATGTCAATACAGACTGATCTAATTTAAATGAGTTGACGTATGATTGAAAACTTGATAATTTCAAGAAAATCGAAAAAAGAGGAATTCTTTTCAATAACCTCTTCTTCATTAGGTTCTACATTTATATGACCATAACCATTGAAGAAATATCCATATCAACAACATCAGTGTTGTTTCAACTTACATCGAATCAATAGTTAGTGTCGACAGACTTCATTTCACAAGTGTCAGTAAAACTGGGGTGATATGCGTTAATATAACACTAAACTGACTAGACATTAGATAAATTAAGGGAAGTACCACACAGTAGTTATGAATGAATTTATACATTGGACAGTAGGCCAAGGTAGCAGTAGCGACTCAGTGGATCAGTTTCTTTTTCACACACACAGGGCCAGTTGATTTCAGCGAATTGGGTTGTTTAGTATCTCGATAACTAATTTATTGGTAATTTATTCAGTATCCGATAGATGATGACAGAGAAAGACTCTTCAATGCTAATCGGCTTTATGGCTTGTTTTGACAAGGTGAACTAATATATAGAATTATAGATGGTTTTAACAATACCTTTATTTAGCCAAACTGGTAGGTGTGTGTTCCCGAGCACAAAAAATCGACTTCGTAAAGCAACTAATGAGCAATATGCGGATCCAGATGGGCATTTGAATTGATAGGTACAATTAGAGGTGACCAGTCTGTGTACTTCCTTCTTTCAGCTTTGAAATTACTACCGGTTGTCTGGAAAGTATATATAAGCTGCAACTTACCGTCAGCGCCTAATGTTCTTTGGATCGATTTTCTCAACTTTAATATGTATGATGTTATATGTACTGTCTCCTGTTTTCGTTTTAGGCTTTCGAAAATGCTTCCGTTTATTTTCTGAATTCAAAACCACCAGTCGAGCATTTGTTAATTAGTCCACCTACAATACATATGAATAATAATACCATCGTCAATGAAAGTAAGTTGAATGTAATTCGTTTTAGTGTGTACTTTATGTATATTAGGTCAGAGTGATTATTATTATATTATTATTGCTCCCTTGGGTTCCTAGTGGAACATAGGGCTTCAACTGCACGTCTCCATTTTCTTCTGTCTTCTGCTATACTTTTCGCCTGCATCCATGGTAATCCATATTCTTTCAACTCCTCTTCACACGATCTCCTCCATGTCAACCTTGGACGTCCCACACGCCGCTTCCCTTTCGGGTTCCACTCGAGGGCTTGGCGCGCGATGTCACCCAGCGGTCTCCTCAGCGAGTGTCCGATCCATCTCCACTTTCTCCTACATATTTGTTGGGCGATTGGTTCTTGCTTTGTTTGTTCCCTTAATTCCTTGTTGGTGATTCTTTCCGGCCCGGCCATCTGATCTTCAGTATAGAGCCAGCGAAGACAGTTGTTAATAAAGGTCTGCAACCTTTTGGAAATATTCTTTGTGACCCACACTCCAAGTTTCTGATGCGTTCCGTATAGAAGAACCGAGTGACTGACTTTACGTTTGTATTGAAAATCCGAATTTTGTTGTTGACGTTGGCTGAGTGACGAAGATTTCCAGATTGATTTCAGGTTGATGAATGTGTTTCTCGCCTTCCCGATTCCCGATTTGACATCCTCGTCCGCTCCTCCTGTAGTTGAAACAATGCTCCCTAGATAAGTGAATGAAGTAGCCTCTTTCAAATCCCTCCCGTTGATGGTGATTGACGTTGGATGTTGTCGCTGTTGTTGGTTGGTTTTTTTCATAACCTCCGTCTTGTCTGTGTGAAGTGATTACATTTCTTACTACTTTAATCCTTTACCTTCTGAGTGGCGCCAAACAGGCTTCAGGCTTCAGCTCTCTGAAGTTTCAAAAGCAGCGATGAGGGTTGCTAACTTTACACCCCGGACCTTCTCTCTTTACCTTGGGCTTATTACCCCGGTTTTAGAAGTTCGTCGGTTGGGGGATCAGATCTTAGATCACACGCATGGTTGGTGAGCATTCTACCGCCACATCACATTGACACGCAAAACTCCTCCCCCACTCTACCAACTTCCTGCTCGAACCAGTGACAGTGATAACAACTCTTTTAGTCATATTACTACATCAATATGCTTTTACCTTACGAGACATTATTATCTTCTTACTTATAAGGCTACTATAATCGGTAGAATTTAGTCTGATTGAATGTCAGTCAGTGACTTTCAACATAGAAAACATTTTGAGGCACAGAAGTACGGCAATTCAAGTTGCTGTCTACACACAAAGGTAGAAAATAGAGGGAAAGATAGACAGAGAACAGGTAGAAATTTGGAAGAAACCATTATGAGGTAGATGAATGATGATCAAGAAAAATGACTTGAGATAGGAGACTGTTATTGATGAAGTCATTGGGTTATAACTGAAGGTGAAGTAGAATTCACAGCAGAGGCTACCAAGAATTAGTAGTAGTAGTAGTCCATCATCCTACAAGTTGAGCGTCGACATTCACCTGTTTATGTGATTATCGTTTCAAGTGTACCAGGTTCATTCCAGGGTAAGAGAGGCCTGGGAATTGAACCCCTCAGATTACTTGCGTTGTTGAGGAGCATTTCCCCACTGAACTGAGAGCTGCTTTCTTAACCTCTTCATCATTATGAATCATCTAAGGACGGCTGGACTTCTGTTACTGTTATTTTCTTTGATTGGTTGGAGGATTTCATCATGAGCTGACACATTGGTTAGAGAACCTGGGAGTACTGCACAGCTGTTTCGTGAGCCTAGTTTGAGATTCTTCAATAGTTTATATCCACCCTATTCAAACAGTTAACTTGAGGTTCTAGTGGGGAAGCTGTGACCAGTAAGGTATGGCAGGTTGAAGGTGAGGATATTTACTTATTGAAGACATTTTTGAGTGATCGCTCTGTGTCGTGACTTGGCTGGCAGAAATTAGAATTCATGGACTGGCCATTGGATCAATTGGATCAGTCCTATTGGCTGCTTAATGGTCTACGAGCTCGCTAGCCTCGTAAGCAGAAAGTCATGGGTTTGAACCCCTGTGGTGAATGCTCACTGGTGAAGAGTTCCAAATTAGGCTGACGAAACAGTCAGTTAGTTATCCAGTACTCCGTGATAAGTTTTCCAATGGTTCTCCTCTAACCAATGAAATCCTTCAAGCAACCAAACAAAATTCATTCAAAACCAGTAGTATTTTCTTGATCCGTCAAGTTAAATGTATCCTAATGTTTCTTTATTATTTATATAAATAAATAATACAAGTATCTTATACATTTAAAAATAAATAAAAGAGTTTGACAAGTTGATATAACCGATGTACTTTTGTCCGCTGTTCAGTTAGCTTTTATTTTTAAATTAAACCTCGTTTGTGTGCTTGTGTGCGCTTGTTTGTTTGTTTGTTTTTGTCATGATGGTTAATGAAAAAAAGCACTCTAAAATTCCTTCTGACAGCTACTCATTTCTTCTCCTTTCTTCATGCTTATGTAGTATACATTCTACGTCTCTCTCTCTCTCTCCCTCCTTCTTAATTCACATTTTTCATCTTAGTCACAATATAGAGGTCATCCTAATTCATTTTCTCTTCCTTGATTTAGGCGCCTTACCTTGTTTGTCGTGTTTGTTTGTCGTCTAGTCTGTAATTTACATGATCACTTTTCTTTTAAACCTCTAATGCTTTATCCATCTATCTGTCTATATACACAAATATAGATAGATAATGGAATATTCTTGCTTTATTGTGTTCAACAGAAAAGAGAAAAGAGGAACTTCACATTTTATTGAATCAAAATGCATCTTAATATATAATGAATGAATGAATGAATCAGACACCTTTTCTCTTTGAAAATGGTATATACAGCTACCGAAACGGAAGCAAATTATTCCTCGTTCTCTCCCGTCACTCTCTCTCTCTCTCTCTGGCATCCACACACACATACACATACACACACTCTCTCTGTCTTTGCTATGTGTCTCTGATTTCCTACTGATCTGTCTCAATTATTCATTCCTTACATAGAGGAAAGATATTATTTCTATAAAACAATGAATGAATATTCTTCAATCATGTGTGCTGGGTTGTGATTTTCTGTGCTGTGCTGTTCTGTGCTGTATTGTATTGCCACTGTTATCTAAAGGTGGCCGTTAATAGTAGTAGTATAAGTCACGTGTCTTAAATAATAATTTTCCATTCTATTGGCTGACCCCCTTCCAATCACCCAACGAACCACCCACCCACCTACTGAACACCTCAGTATTTGTATTTCCCCATACCCCTCCCTCTGTCACCCAGCATTTGACAAGATTTATAGATATCTTCAGATTTCTAAAAATGTGTGCTTATCATCAACAACGCTATCATCATCAACATCATCGTTATCCTCATATATATTCATGACTGTTATCATCTTTCTTTGTGAAGCAGCGTTCTATCACTCTCTCTCTCTCTCTCTCTCTCTCTTTATGTGAAATATATTCACTTACCCAAGAGGCAAATAATCACTAAATTACATTGGAAATGCATTAGATCAATATCTGATTATGGTGGATCTGTTAAGTGAATTGTCTCGGCATCTCTCTCTATGTATATGTGTATGTGTGTGTGGGTGGGTGATTGCTGAAGAAATATTCCACGTATGCTTTTTTTTAAATAAGATACCTTCGCATAGTATTAAAAAGCATTCTGAAGATTATTCACTTTTGCAAAAAATAGTGGTCTTTTCCACCTTTATGATCCCCATTATCACTTTGATTCATTTGGGACAACAAAAAGATCATTAATATCATTATTATTAATAATATTTATGTGTAGGCTATTAAAATAAAAAGATGGAAAGGTGAAACGCTTCGATATTGTCATGGAATATTCTACAATTAGTTAGGGAGGGTGAACAACTGCTTTGAAATCAATAAAAGTCTAAATGACTAGCCTGATTCTATAGCAAGAACTAATTTATGAGACCAATGTGGTAGTAATCCTGAGGACTGTTCTCATTCGAATCCTACTGCATTTCATGTTTGCATTCATAGCAGTCTGGTGAACACTAGTGTTAAGTCGAGACTTTTCAACAGACTTCAGCCGGATTAGCAGAGAGGAACTCACGAGGTGTGCAGCATGGATGACACTGAAATAGAGACCAAGTCGGAAATTAAATACCTAGGCGTCATTCTATCTGCTGATCTTCCCTGGTCGTTTCATATCTTGATGATTTCTAAGAAAATATTCCATCTTACCTTCTACATCAAGAAATTAAGACATTCTGGTATAACTCAACCCCTACTCCTACAATTCGTTAACTCTTGCATTCTGCATAATATTCTCTGTCGTTCCCCCTTAGTTTTTCCAAGGTTACTGAAGAAGGACTATATCTTATTACGCAGGGTGTTAAAGGTTGTCAGTAGGGTAAGCAACGTGCCACTTCTTAATGTGTGCTTATCATCAACAACGCTATCATCATCAACATCATCGTTATCCTCATATATATTCATGACTGTTATCATCTTTCTTTGTGAAGCAGCGTTCTATCACTCTCTCTCTCTCTCTCTCTCTCTCTTTATGTGAAATATATTCACTTACCCAAGAGGCAAATAATCACTAAATTACATTGGAAATGCATTAGATCAATATCTGATTATGGTGGATCTGTTAAGTGAATTGTCTCGGCATCTCTCTCTATGTATATGTGTATGTGTGTGTGGGTGGGTGATTGCTGAAGAAATATTCCACGTATGCTTTTTTTTAAATAAGATACCTTCGCATAGTATTAAAAAGCATTCTGAAGATTATTCACTTTTGCAAAAAATAGTGGTCTTTTCCACCTTTATGATCCCCATTATCACTTTGATTCATTTGGGACAACAAAAAGATCATTAATATCATTATTATTAATAATATTTATGTGTAGGCTATTAAAATAAAAAGATGGAAAGGTGAAACGCTTCGATATTGTCATGGAATATTCTACAATTAGTTAGGGAGGGTGAACAACTGCTTTG